TCTTTGTGGGTATGATGATAATAAGCTTGGCTAAGTTTGATCTTTTTTCGTATAACCATGGGTGATGATACATATGTACTATTGATATATGTTTTGTGAGAGTGATTATGTGATGCTTTTTGTGGGTTTGGAGGTTTTTATTAACATGTATTTGTTATTCTTGCCTTTTCACCGTGCTCGGCTAATTCTCTACGTTCGGAGAAAAATATGTATGTTGTTTGCTACTGGCTAGCTAAGTGAACTATATTGGTTGGGATATTGAAATTAAGTTGTTAGGTATTGGTAGCACCACTTCACTTTCTTATTCAGTTGTATTTGTTTTTTTCCTTGAATTCAAAAACCTAGACTAATTACAAGATACAAAGCATGATGATTGATGCAAACTGACATCAACACAACTTGGACAACACGCATTCAACCTCAACTAAATAGGAAAATGCCAACCTTAAAAGGCATACACTACAAAACAAGAACTACAACTATTACATGCTAAACTAATAATTCACACACCACGGAACAAGAAACCAAACATGACGGGACGGAACTAAACCAATCTCCAATCAACCGCATCAAGTGGAACTAACAAGAGGGTAGAATATTGGTCCTAACAGACCTTCACACAAAAGCAACAACAAAAACAAACCAACATGAGGCCTAATACAAATAATTATAGACTAAACCCCTTCTAGCTTCCAATAGTTACACCTCGCACACAAATGAAGAATAGAAAATAGGCATTAAACCGCCGATCCGAAAACTCTAAAACCACTAATCGCCTAACCAGATCCTAGAGCAACGCACCAACACCATCCTACAGAGTCGCCCATCAACTAACAGCATTCGAGGGGCCAAGATCCATAGTCATCACCATCACACGCCGAACTAACAGCATTCGAGGGGCCAAGATCCATAGTCATCACCATCACACGCCGGAAACCGCTACCCAACCCTCCCCCAAGAGAAAAGATTCCCAACTGGTTGCCGATTTCCTCCCCCAAGAGAAAAGATTCCCAACTGGTTGCCGAAATCGCCGTCGAAGCCCGCCCGCAAGAAGAT